TTTTTTTCCTTCAATTTTTAGTTTGATTATTTTATGTATTTACTATTTTACAATTTTGAAAAGTAAATATGCTTTCTAAATGAAGTTCATATTGATTGCTTTTGGAAGCCTGGTAGGTCTTATGCAAATTTCATTGCTCCCATAATTGAGGCAGATTAAGAACAATGCAGAATGCTTCCCCGAAAAATGCACCACATAATGGAATATTTAGTGTAATTCTGCATCTGCCTAATCTCAATGAACTTAATCTGGGCAGGCTTTCTGATATGTTTTCAGATATCAAGGAACTACTGTTTTCTTGTTCTTTACCGACTTGACATTATATATGCTGTAACCACTAAAGTTGTCTCTTCTCCCTTCTGCTTTTCTTTACAGCTGCTCCTTGACTCTGTCCTTGCCACTTTTTTTGTTCTTTTATAGAATTACTCATTTCTAGCATTGGAATTTGGTTGCATTTTGCTGTAGAGGTCATATCTAGCTTTATCTCTACATGTTTCATGCTCTGAACCTTCACTTATCTGCTTAAACTGAATGCGATTCATTTGCTCACCACTTTCAGATAAAGAATGGTTCAAAGCCTGAAGCTGCCCTTCAAATTCTGTCTTTGGGAAGCCCCACAAAAATAGAGGTATCATACATTCCATCTCAGTTTATCTGCAGTTGTCAATGAAAAGGTTTTAGAGGTGATTTTTCACTATTATGTCTATTAATATTGTCAAGATTATTTTTTTCTGACGTATTCTTCTACATTGTATTTCATGCTTCTTGGACTTAAAGGATGAAAATGTAACTACTATCCAGGAAGCTGAGGAGGAAATAAAAAAGCCAGATTTTGCAATGCAAGTATGTAAAATTGTATTCAGTTTGATTTAGTTGTCTTTTCCTTTTAAGAAAGGTACTATTTTAAGTGATATATGTTGGCCCTTATTTCAGAATAAACGAGAAATACTGAGAAGATTGAATCAAAATCTTAAAGCTCAAGAAGATGAGAAAGATAAAAAGGAGTGTAAAAATATCTCTGAATCAGCTGGGTCTGAAGATGGTAAGGAACAACAAGAAGGTGACCATCCACTTCTAGGAGATCGCAAAAAATGGGAATCTAGGGCATCTGAGTTGGTAGTTCCTCTAGCTCAGTTATCAATGGAAGATTCTCTCTCCGGAACAGACCGTAAGTACTTTTTTTTGTCACCATGATATTAGTAAATCAATTTACCATGTGTAGTGCCTGTTTTTATAAAGCCAAATACTCTTTATTATTATAGTCTTGTTATCAGTTGCATGTCATCTGCTTCTAAAAAACAGGTGGTTATATATCCCCTTGCATAAGGAATAAGGCACAGGCATTGGCCTGAAGGAGATTCAACAAATAATTTCCTAATTTCAACAAATAGTTACCTGATTAAGTGTGTGGTTACTGTCTTTGAGGGTTTTTTTTAAGTTTCACATTGTAGAAGTAAATAACCATTGAGAATGGGACAGACTTACTTTATAATATAGTAGTTTTACATGGCTAGGATATTAGAAGATCAAGAAACTTCTTCTTTTGCTCTATTATTCTTTGTTGCTTTATATCCTCCTTTGTCCTTGGAGGGAGAAATAACAGAAACAAATGTCGAAGGATAGCAAGACAAGAGACTTTCTAGTTTCCCATTTCAGGTAAAGTTAAGACCATCTCATGCCAGTTTTAAACATTTCTCATGCTGTTTTCTTTTGGAGTGCCTGAATTGCTGGAAAGATCTCCTGCTGCTATTAAGTTGCAGATGTTAACTGGCATTGAATAATTCTTGTTATTAAATGGAATTGACAGAAGTAAAACTCTAGACTTTTCAGGACAGTCTTTAGGCTGTCTGACTTGGGGTGAGGTGGCATGAGTCTGGCTTTGTAGGTTTTAGTTTTGTGGAGGTTAGTTGTTTGTTCATTATATAGAAAGTGAATAAAAGTTTCTAATTTCTAAAAGTTTCTATATTTGTGTTTGTGTCCCGACAGGACAAACTCTGGGGGATGTAATTAGATTAGATATTAGTGAACCCCACAGGAAGGTCTGGGGCAAAAGCCCTACTGATTCAGTCCTGAAGATCCTAGGGGAAGCAGAGTTGCAGCTGCAAACTGACCTACTCGAGGAACTAGATGTAATAAGTGGTAAGCACAGCTGGTAATTATCTGCACTGCAAGTGTAGGAAGTGCTAAATTGCCAGTTTGTCTACAGAGAACAATTTTGAACTCACAGAAGCATATCCTATCCTCGCTCTTGCTTTCCACTTCTGGGTGTTGCCTCAGGTCTAAATGTTCTAAATGTCAGCACAAGCTGATACTGGAACACGCCAAAATATTTCAAACTCAGTGAAGTGGTAAGAAATTAAGAAGGATGTGCCAAAAGGGAAGGATCTTCATTTTATTGAAAAGTCTTGGACTTTGCTTATTGATAGAAACAACTCTGGTTTTTAAAAGGCTGTCTGCATTTAAAAGGAATACTGCATTACATAGGTCCTATAACCTTCTTGTTAGCATATGACTTATCGTATCAGCAGATTTTTTTTCTGGTCAACTCCTGCTCTTTGTCCTTTCCAAGGACAAAAGGACTTACGTTTATTCCAAATATAAACTTGTACTAATGATAATGTAGCAAGTAAAATTCAAATTTTAATATTTCTGGCTTTCCTCTTCATAATAGTTGTAATAAAAGCATGCAAATTTTTCTATTCTGTTTTCCTTTAAAGAAACAAAAATTCTCAACTTACCTTGTAGTCACATTGTAGTTTATTATCAAACTGTGTCAAAGCACTGTTTAAATAATAGAATAATTTTGTGTTAGGTACCGCAGAAGGAGATCGTCAGTCCTTAATTATAAAAGAGGAGAAGGAAGAGAAAGCTCTTCCTACAGTTGGAGCTCAGTCTTCAGTACCAGTTGATATCACAGAGTCTGACATGACTATACCAGAAGAATCTCAAAGAGCTGGACCTACCCAGGTGCAGAGCAAACCTATTATGCTGGATGGTAAGTCATTTCATTAGTAATTCTAATTACAATCTGTTTTCTAATTCAATGAGGAAAGTAATGATCCTGTATACTTTTATATCTTCCCATAAGTAATGTGCAGTTTTTCATTAACACCTTTTAGGTAGGACCAAGTGCTTTCTATGCCTGTGTTGTAATTTGATTCTCTAATGTATTTTGTAAATTTCCAGAAACCTTTTTTGTGTGTTTATAGAGAACTCTCTAGAATACAAGTGGAATTCTAAAATGCTTCAATGTTGTTGTTGGGTTTTTTGTTTGTTTCTCCCCATCAATCTTGCTGGAATCTTTTCCCCTGTATGATACCAGCACCAGCACCCTGCTGATGTTTGGGGGGGGGTTTTAGAAAATGCAGTTCACTGGAGCTTTAAGATACTTTTCTTGTATCAGAAACAAACTTTTAGCTCTGTGGTGATAAAACTTCAGTTGTTTCTGCAAAATGCAGAAAATTATTAAATCTGAAGGATTTAAGTGTAATCTTAAGATGTGTAGTCTCTCCTGTCTTTTTGTTTGGTTGGGATTCACTTTTAATGTGGTATATGACTTTATTAATTCTAGACCCTGATGATTTGGAAGCAGAGATGTTGGAAGAAACAGAAGAAGGTAAAAAGCACCAGAGTAAGGAGAATAAGGAATTTCCCATCACTGTTAATGAAGTGTGGGTAAAAGAGAAAGAGGATAAGTAAGTACTCTCTTCTTCTGATCCCCCTCTCTCCAGTTCAAACAATTAGCTTTAACTGAGTAGGATTTAGATACATCAGTTAAAATGTTTAGCTTAGTTAAAGCTTCATTGCTTGTCTGCCATGTTAGTTTTACTGCACTTGGTAGCTGAGGATTTTTTTCAGTAGAATAATGACTATTTTTACATGGTGTTTCCCCTGGATGTGGTATTTTATAATAGGGCCCAACATGACAGAAGAAATGAGGCAGCTTCTGAGAAAGTAATGCTTGACAAAGTGCAACCACAAAAGGAAGCTCCAGAAGGTCAGTTGAAGTCTCTTGTTTTGTTTATTGTAGCTGGCAGTATGGAGTACTTGAGCCATCCCTTCTCACTTCTTCACTAACCCCGGAAGAGCAAGTTTTCTGTTTGCATTTTCTTTTTTAGTTCATACTTCTAAAAAGCAAATTTCTGATGAATTAGGAAGACAAATTGTGGGTGTTATTTTTGCCACTTCGGAAGAAAACATGTAACAAAGCTACACTATGTGTAGATGAACAGGGCGTTGGCCCACACTGATACTTAAAAGTGAATGTCAAGTTTCTGAATGCTACGACCTTTTAAAATGACTGTTTAAAATGTTATGAAATCTGGTGATTTTACTTAATAGAAGTGTTGTTTTGTTTATAGACATCTCAAATTAATATTGAGCTGCAGCTTGGATAAAAAAATATTTTAAGTGGCTGCTAGTGATAATCTTTTATCTTTATTGCATAGAAGAATTGCTTGCTCTTGGAGGTCTTTGAAGTAACTTCAGAAGGTCTGTATATTTTACAGTAGAATAGAAAATACATTGGCAATAGTGTCAAGTATCATTGATGATACCATTCCATCTATTTATGGGTGGCTTAAGCAAACTGGGTTTTTTTTTTTTCAGTGTTTGGGCAAATTATGTTGAGGTAGCTTTGAAGAAATCTAGTATAAGGCAAGAAGCAACAAGATGAAAATGGATGACACCATAATTTCGGGCATGGACTGGATAATGAGAAACTAGAAGGCATGAGAACAGAACAGGCTTATAGCTGAGGGCTGTGTATTCTCAAAAAAAGTTAAAATGGCAGAATTCCATATTACAGTGTGTTTACTAAAATAATCCAAAGATATTTTAATACTTTTACAGTGCTATCTATTTTCCCCTTTAATTGTACAACAGAAATGAGTTAGTTTTATTCACTTTAATCACCTTTTGTTTAAGAACTTGTGGTTTTTAATCTATTTAGATTTGTAATGGACTTTCTTTTACTACATCAGAAACTTGTTCCAGTGACTGTCTGCAACCTGAACCCTTATTCCAGAGGGTAATACAGCCCCCAGCTGTACCAACAGCCTCGCCAGTTCTGTCAGCTCAGTCTTCTCAGGAAGAGCCTTTTGTACCTCGTTCACGTTCCATATCACCAGCAAAAAATAAAGGCAAAAGTTCATTGTTGATTGGACTTTCTACTGGGCTTTTTGATGCAAACGATCCGAAGGCAAGTTTAAAAAACTAAAATGGAATACTTGTTGTTCTATAGTAATATTATTCTTATTTTCTTATTGAGGCTGAATGAGGCCAGAAGAGATGGCCTAACTGTTTCATCAGGTGTTTGTATTTGTCTAGCCATGTCTGCCCTGCAGTATGACTGCAGTGCGTTCATTTTATCAGCAGGGCTCGCGCGGCAGTGAGAGTTCCTGGTTTCACCATTCAGCATTTTATGTCCAGGTGTTTATGGAGGAATGCCACCACTTCTCTGAGACGTAACTGAGGGAGTTCATGAGGAAATTCCTAACTTCCCCTATCTGTTTTCTCCCTTTTGTGCAGTTTTTCAGACTTATCACTATCTTGCCATCATAAACATAAACGCTGAACAGATCAGCAAAGGTATCTTGTCATTTCTGGCAACCAAGTGATTGGTTTTTTTTCCTGTAGGATTTAACCAACTAGAACAGGTTCTGGCTGTGAAGCAGGAAGACTGAAGAAGAGTGAATGGAACTAACTGCTTTCTTGAAGGTGTTTCCTGACCAGCTACATAGGATTGAGTGGCAGCTCACAGTCTGTGAAATGAGCATAGGATGGTGGAATGTGGTTTTGATAGGAATTTAAGATATTTTAAAAATAGTTATGGAACTAGTAGATGAAACAGACTTCTTAAATTACGTGCAATATTTGCCTGGGTTCTAAAGAGGAAAGTGCATGAAAGAGCAGCTGCTTTTTGGAGAAACAATGGTGGCAAAGGGTTCTCTGGAAACTTGCATACCTGTGTTGCAAGTCAATATGTAGTAAAGGATTTCCTAGGTGGTGGAATGCCAGATAAGGAAGAATGTTTCTTCTTTTGACTCCCAACCTTTTTTTGTGAGTCTATGAAAGAAGTTGCACTATTGGTGATTGATTGAATATTGAATAATATCTATTGGTTGATGAATTGCTAGGAAGCATAATATCAGGAATAGCGCTGTTTGCATCTGTGGGAAAATAAGGCCTCTTGTCAAGCTTGCATCTGTTTTCACAGATCCATATATTCACATAAGTGGATTTATGACTTTAATTTTTATTCCTCAAGAGTCAGTGTATCATTAACTTCACTAGTTTATGAAGCTGTTTATCTGGCAGTTAGACAATGATTAGAGAAAAACTGTCTTGTGAGTAGGGGGAAGATGAACATTCTTTGTATCCTTATCAGATTTAGAAAGTAATGGATATGCTTTATAATGAAGTTCTTCAGTGTATCAATATGAAATGCTTCAGTATGTCACTTGTTACTCCATATTTGGCATGAGTTGTGCCATAAGTGTTTGTCACAGAATTGTTAATGCAGTACCAGATGAGCTTAAATAATAGCAGAGAGTTTGGAGAAAAGCAACAGATGTGTTGTTACTGCTGCAGTAGACTTGATGAAAGAGAGCAACAAACCCCCTTTCCTCATTTGGTTGCAACAAGAGGATGTTCAGTACTTCTTTGCAGTATCTGCAAATGTAACTTCCTGAAATTTCCTAAATATACTTCTGCGGCAGCTCTTACCAGAAACTAAGGAAACCTTTAGCAGGGAGCAGGGCAGACAGAGTTAGTGTCCTATCTGTAGGCAGGTCTGTATGCTAGCAGAAGTAGCCTAGTAGGAAAAGAAACATTTTTCAAAATACCTGGAAACTTTCAAGTGATGAGGTAGAGTCAGTCTTCTAATTGTTCCTTCACATTGGTAGTAGTGGTCAAAAAGGGTGGTTACTCCTTTGACGGCGATAATGTTCTGGCCATGTGCTGACAGAGATTTGATATTCGAGCATGTATATGAATACACTGTGCTGGTATAAATTGCAGCTGAGGAACTATTTTTGTCATTAAAATTTAGGGGTTTTCATTAGAGGCAAACACTGAATGTGCATGTATTCAGACCTATGCTGAAGGAAGGTGAGGCTTATTGATAAAACTTCTTAGTCTTGCTTCTTAATTTATTAATACTATGATGAATATTTAGTAATTTTGGGGGGGTTCTTAGACTTCTTAAAAGAGAGAGCTGGTAGATCACTGAGCAAACAGTTACTTTGTTTCCATGTTGCTTTATTTCCATTGCAACAAATTACTACTGTAATTTGAACTTCTTTCTAATACTTGTAATGAACTTCTTTCTAATGCTATGGAACTGCCTTGAAATATACCATAAACAACAATTACTGTTTCCAGTGACCAACCTAGAGAAATAATAAAATGACATTTTAAAAAATATTCCTTTGTCAGCTTCTTAAAATGGTTCTAAGTTGTAAGTGATTGACTTACATACATTGTAAACAATCGCATATATATATTATTTATCTACTGCGATGTTCCTTTTCTTTAGATAGCTGTCAAGGTAATGAACAAATCTGCACAAACCCAGGATATGTTTGTCAGTTGATGTTCTTAAAGCTTTTCAGTCGCTGTAGCCTGTAAAGGCAGAAGGAATGCTTTCCTTTTAGCTGAGAGGCAAAATTCAAGATGTCAAATTTTCAACAATTAGAGTATCTGTGCTGGACATATCGTTATTTTGAAATTGACCTTCAAATGAAAAAGGACAAAATAAAAAAATCTCTAAAATTAGAGTATTTTGTAACCTCAGACTGTCTTTAGTATTGTTACCAAACAGGATTTCTATTACCTTTGCAGATGTTGAGAACATGTTCGCTCCCGGATCTTTACAAACTGTACAGAACTTTAGTCGATGTTCCCAGTGTAGCAGATGTGCAGCATCAACATAATCTTGAAATAGATGATACGGAAGATGAGCAAGCCAAAGAAGGACCCTCTGATTCTGAGGATATGTGAGTGTATCAAGTATCAAGTATTTCAACAGGCATCTTAGATCAAGAATATTTTTGGTTAGACACAATTACACAGTATACCAGCATGGGGTTTTTACCCAAATTTTAAAAATCCTGTATTGAATCACCATTTACTTTGAGTCCTGTTCCAGAGAATTGAGAAGCTAATGGGATGTACTGCTTACAACAGCTGTCTGAATTTCCTTTCCAAATTCCATCCAAGATGCTATTCTGTCTGGCTTCTGCACCTTGTGTTCCGCTGAAGCAGATCAAAGTTGATGGCTACCGCTCGTCTAGAAATAAAGATTTCTTGAGTATTTCCTTTCTTTGTATGTTCTGGGAATCTCGCTCATCTATCTTCTCTACTGTTGTATTGGGATGTCCTTCAAGTCCCCCAGATTCTTTCAGGGGCTTCAAAACCTGACCCTGGCTCTTGACTATTCCCTGCAGTTTGTGTAGTCTGCAGGGATAATACCATCTGGTGTATCTATTCTGATGAGATCTAGATCTCTTTTTGCTCCACACATATTTTTATCTGGATTGGGAATGTTATACTTGCCAGGGTTCTCTAATAGTGCACGAATACAATGATTCTGAAATTATCTTACTGATCAAGTTGAATTGAGGACCTATCATCATCTTTTTACGAAACGGTCTGGTATCTGTTTAGCTAATCTTTATTCCCCGTGTCTTGCACGATATAATGTTATCAGTGCTGTAATCATGTTGGACTGAGGACACAAATATTTGTCTCTCTCTTTTTTTTTTTTTTTCCCCCCCCTTCCTCCTCCAGCTACATTTGCTTTCCAGTTTGTTGGCTTAACAAAAGAAATGAACTCTTCCTACAGGGTTTGTCTTGTAAAGTATTAATTACATAATACTTCATATAATACATTGTATCACTTTCTTTTAGTATGTTTGGGGAGGCAGATACAGATTTGCAGGAACTCCGGGCTTCAATGGAACAATTGCTTAGGGAGCAGCCTAGTGAGGAATTCAGTGAAGAGGAGGAGTCTACTTTAAAGGCTAATGTCATTGAATGCATAACAAATGGTACAGAGCTGGATGAAGGAGATGAAAATAACCCCAGCAGTGAAAGTGCACTTAATGAAGAATGGCAGTCAGGTATAATTTCTATTACACCTGTTTTATAAGTTATTTATTGATGTTAACAATTCAAACACAGAATAATGGGTTTGCATTGCATACTTATAATGAAGTAAAGCTCTCATTAATAGTTTTTATACAGAAGTTTAAAAAAATCAGATAATATTTAGACTTTCTGAATGTTAAGGTCAACATCTAAGCAACATTCAATGTTGCAAATTAAATGTTGGGTATTTGTTAGGCAGTGATTATAAGTCACTTTTTCTCTAGTTGTCTAAAACTTGTCTTCAAGGAAGATCAAAGACTCTGTGCACATCATATATTTTGAATAATTCATGACTGCAATGTAAGAGTGAAAAAGAAATAGCAATTGACATGACTGGAGTATCTGGGATCCAGCTTACGTTGCAATTAAGTAATTTAACAGGCAGTCAAAAGGAACATGAAATTATTAACCTTGCCCTTAGACCAAAATAGCTATTAATGCAGTCAAACTAAAAATGAGACAGAAAAATTTATTACTGCTTTTAGCATTTTGCATTAGCTATACACAATGGTGTCCTGAAGTCTCAGTGTTTTTTAAATTCTGGTTGAAATACAAGTACTTTACTACTGCTGTAAAATAAAGTGCATTTAGAAATATAGGTGTAAAAAGATGTAGACAATCAGTAACTAATCTAAAACATAGCTTTTGTGTAATTTTGGTTTATTGAAGACAATTTTAAACAAATTTAAAATCTGTGAATATACCTGTAAGATATCTATATAATACATTCCAATAAGTATTTTAAGGTAAAATAAACTTAGGTAATACCATATTCTTTCATTTTTTGACAGTGCTGATGTTATACACTGATAATATATGATACTATCCGTTTCTGTGATTCTGTTGTTGTTGCAAGCATTACGGTATTTGGTGTCAGTGTCCCACCTTCTAGATTCATGATATTCCATAAGAATTGCAGGTTTCAGTGTTGGGGGCGTGAGGAAGGCCTTCAAAACTCAGGGGAACAGACAGAACTTGAAACCAAATCTGTTCAAGACCCAGAAGTTAAATACAGGATTAGAAGTAATCTAATGGGTGTTTAACCCATATACAACTTTTCCTTTTATTTCAATGATAATTTCTTACTGATGTGACTGTTGATACTTGAATCAGGGATATGATTTGGTGGATTATACCTTACACTAGTCATATATAGGGATTGAAAGTTAGTAGAGTTTTAGTACTAACTCACGAAGTCTGTGACCTACCAGGCAATACTATGTATTTTTTTTTAAGATTTGATAATATAAGCTCTGAAATCTAAAAAGTTGTATATTTTTCCCTGGGTAGAAGACAAGTTCTTTCATAATTCAAATACTTATTTAAGGAAGTTTGCATTTTATAACAGGATTTTACATAGGGATTCTATCTTGTATTTTTAAATAGATCCTTCTTTTGTTAAACTTACTAATGTTTGACTGTTACAAACCTAATTGTAAGGTTTCTGTAGCCTATAAGCAAAATCATCTTGATTTCTTTTGCATATCTTACTGCACCAATTGGCATACTGAATTTGCTACACAAAGGAGATGCACTCAGAAAAGAATGAGGAACTTTGTAGCTAAATTAGTACTGGGTTTTTTAGACTTGCTCCATGGAACAAGATGCATCTCAGTGCAGGAATTAAATAACTGATTCTTAATATACATGTCCTTATTTTCTGCTAGAAGACAGCTGCTTCATTAAGGAGCTCTTTTCCCTAGCATGGGACAGCCACTGAACCCTGTATCAGTTCCACCTCAGAAATATGTGGAATGGTTATATGGAAGTCGACCTACTAACATTGCTTTGCTAAATAAAAGTCTTCTTTAAGACCATACCTTGTTTTCCTTCAGTATGAATACCCTTATGGCTAACTATCAGAATGGGGTTTTAGGAGATTGCTAGATGCTTCCTATTTGGGATTCAGAATTTCTTTGCTGTCAGAAAAGGGACTGTTCCTATTTCCTTGCAGGTTGTTCAGAACATCTGCCAACATTGTCTGGTGCTCCTCAGCTTACCTGCTTTCATTACATTTAGAGGCCTGTGTGGATATCAAGTTTAGGGCCACAGAAACAACATTAAGAATGTAGGAAAACTGAGGGGTTTTTACTGTTGTTTTCTTTCTTTGTAGATAATAGTGATGGAGAGATTGCCAGTGAATGTGAAGAATGTGATAGTATCTTCAGCCATTTGGAAGAGTTGAGATATAACCTGGAGCAGGAAATAGGCTTTGATAAATTCATTGAAGTTTATGAGAAAATAAAGGTTTGTGGGATAACCTCAAGTGGAAAATATTTTAAGAAACAAGTACCTAGGGCTGCTTACTGTGCCAGTAACTAACTGCATTGTGTGACTAGAATCAATGCTTATTTCTTTAGTCTTTATTCTGTTTTGACACACTAAAATATTAACAGAGAAAATGCCATGCCAGTGGATTAAAGAGGAAAACTTTGGGTTTAACCATGAATTGCATTTAATAAATTTGAGCTATTTAATTCTCTACCCATTTTAATTTTGGCAACATGGATTGTCCTTTCTGCCAGGCTATACATGAAGATGAAGATGAAAATATTGATATTTGTTCAACCATAGTTCAGACTATTCTTGGAAATGAACACAAACACCTGTATGCTAAAATACTTCACCTAGTAATGGCAGACGGAGCCTACCAGGAAGGTAATCTCACTATACCCTGGCAGTTATGGCTTGTCTTATGTTCTTTCTTGGTCATATACAATAGGTTCTAATACACTTTTAAAACATATCTGTGCTTTGTAATATTGATTGGCGAAATTGATAAAAATATTTTTTTTCGCAAAGGGTATTTTTATTCCTGCAGCAAAATGTGGCAAACTTTGATTTAGCATGCTGACCACTCTGATTTAACAGCATGTACATATACAGTCAACTGTAATAATAGTTGTCTTATGAAAGGTGCAGTATAATTACTTAATTACTGTAAAACAGTTATGCAGATTGGGAAGATGGAAGTCTAGAATAAAACTTTCAGAATTAAAAGCAATTTTACCTTAAGAATTAATGAATTTTTAGCGAAAATAATATTGTTCTTACCAAAACACTACTTTTAATGGGTTGCAGTATCACTGCTTTTCTGAAAGGAAAATTTCATGTGGCTCTTTATCCTACAGCTGTCATTTTTCAGAAGAACTTGATGTGGAGGTACCATCCATCTTAGTTTTCAGGTGGCTCAGAAATACATGAAGAGAATTTATCTTGCTTGGGAGCCCTGCCTAGCTTAACACAGATTACTAGGCAAATGGATAGTTCGTAGATCTTTCACAGTCACTCTATGAAATACCACACAGACCACTATCAATGAGAAATGGGTTTGGTTTTTTTTTTCTCTTATGTCAAAAATTTAACTGCAGTTAATGTAATTTTAGATTCCTAATGATGAAAGTCTTTACTGGAGAGAAAAAAAAAAAAATTAAAATCTCAATTATTTTAATATAAATCAGAAGCATTATATATTGGCTTTAGAAATGTGTGCAATGATCACTATTTAATGTATTTCAGTTTTGAAAAAACATTCTAATGCATGTTAACCAATGTCTACTTTACACATCTTTTAAATTCTTTTACAAATGTGTTGCAATAGCAGTGAATAAAGGGTCAAATAAGATTTAGGCTTTCTATGGTTTTTATATATAAATGCTTGGGGGGGGGGGCAAGTCTTAAAAAGTAGTTTTAAAAACATAATAATTAAAAAAAAAATTCTAATACAAATTACATTTTCCTAATTTTTCTTTGCTACTAATATAGAACCAGTCAGTAAGAATAACCAGTACCGTGTTGTTTTCATGCTGTGTTATAGAAGTATGACAGAAAAGTGTCTGAAAAATATTTTTTCAACCACAATTTATTGATTTAATGACAGAATTGGAAAGATACATTGTAGTAGTTCATTTTTCAAGTGTCCAAAGGACTGGCAATATAGAACAAGAAGAAAATGGTAACTATAGTGCTACCAGTTTTTTTTTCCTTGCCACTTTGCCTTAAGGATATTTTAAAACTAGTACTAAAAGGCTTAAATGACAATTTGCTGAAATGCTGGCGGATTGTAAGCTGTTGTCTGAGTGAATCCTATTAAAATGAGCTAACTTTCATCTTGCAAAATGCTGATTAACAAGTGGCTATTTTTAATAGCTTCAGTTCTATTTCTGCATTTTACAAACCTGTGGTAGCATACAAAAATGTAAAGAAAAAGAGGTTCTTTACATTTAAAGTACATGTAGTACTTTAGTACTAAGAACTACATTTAAAGTAGTTCCTTAAATTTCAGACATTTAAAGAAAAAATCCTATGCTAATAAAGGTGAATAGAGGACAAGTGACAGTGAGAAGCATATTCATGAGCTTCTGTCTCAAAATTTTACACTCTTCAAATAAGAAAAGTTAGAAAAAAATCTGTATTGCTCTTTACCAAGAGGGTTGTTCTAACTGAAGCAGGCCACTTGAGATGAAACTCTCTTAAATTCACTAATCCAAGAAAGATGACGTGTTGTTCAATATTTGTACACATAGTGCTTTCAAGGCAGTTTTGGTAACAGTCACCTCATTGGTGACTGACTTAGTGAATTTTTGTATTATTGCTTACTAAATTGTGGTTTCTAGTTTGTTTTGTAACCCCAGCTTGATTTTGTATGCGCGTGTGTGTGTGTCTGTCTGTCACTCCTTTTCACCCTGTCTCTCCCTCTCTCCTGCTTTTTACAGATAATGATGAATAAACCTGGCTCAGGAAATTCCTTAATGCTGTACTACATATCGGTGTTTGAAGTCTGCACAGCTGAATAACAAATTGTAGTGGAGAATGTAACATGGGGCAGGAGGAGCAAGACTTCAAAAAAGAATGTTGATTGTGTGGAAAAGAGGAAAAACATGCCTTTTAAAACTGAGATACCTATACACTTCTCTTGTGTGTACTTGCATATGTGTTCATTTAAATATTAGATGCCCAAAATTTAAAAACAAAACAAAACAAAGAACAACAACAAAACAAAAACAACCCCAAAACCTGTAATCTCTCAAATTCCAAAAGAAATACAGAAGAGAACACCTGTAGATATTCTGATACAAAACTGAGACCTACAGCGTAAAACAGTTTCTGCTATATCAACAGTTGGCTGGTACGGTTAAGCAATTGGAAGCATTACTGTTTTGTGGAAGTACCCACATCTAGCTATTCACTTGCATACTTAAAATAGCCTCTCTTTACACCTACATAAAGAAACTACTTCATTTTATTGACCCTTGTGGTTGTATTTTAATAGCATCTTAATCTAGTGTGTCCAGTTTGAGTATTTCACTTTTTTCTTAATAAAAAAATTACTGTATTTTGAAGCTGAAGGCTTCTGTTACTTTTTAACCAGTGTCATCTGAAATATCTTAATGGTGTTTCTAAATCAAGGCAAACTGGTACTTAAGTCATCATTGAAATGTCTGGGGTTTTTTGAGATTGTAAAATTCATTTGGAGCTAGAATACTTTTTTCTGAATATTTTTCTTCCCCTTCCTCAACCCCTTCCCCAAATCCCAAGTATTTAGCTCTTTTGAATTTTGTAATCTGGTCAATGATAATATGGTATGCTGTTGAATTGAAATGAGTGGGTTTTTTCCAGTTTGTTTTTAAATTCTTACTGTCACACTCATGGCTCCAGCAGCCACAGGGGAAAATGAAATACTGCAGGCACAATACTTCTCATCTTTTGGCTCATGTTTTGTAGCTTGATTTCTAGCACTCCGAAAGAAAAAACAGGTTTCTTCTGACCCACATTTCCTTGTTCCTCCTGTCAAAGCAGTACTATACAGGGCAGACATTAGGTATGCTGTTGTTTTTCCAGTCATCATCTCTGGAACAGCTTTATTGGCTTACCCATACAATAAGTCTCTTGTTACAAGTCTGATAAACTGTCAAACTTCCACCTGCCCTATTGGAGAAAAACAGATCCACCCCCCCACACCCCCCCAGCTACAGCCAGTCACAATCTAAAACTGTCAAAAGTTACTTTTCCACAAAGTAAAAGCAAGTGTGTATATATATATTATTTAGAACTGTCAAAATATGTACATGATTTTTGTATAATTGTTTTATGGTGGTGTTATTAAAGCTTTGCCCACTGAAAAGTGTTAATTTTTTTAAACACATCCAATTCTTAATGGTAGACCAAACTTACTCTATTTCAGCTGTATCCTGGGAACCTGCGTTGAGAATAAAATTAATAATCATAAATGCCTTTAATATATTAATTTTTTAATGTCCTTACTTACTTGATAAACACCTCTTGCTTCATCTGATGAGAAAGTATGATCATTGTTGGAAACAGGGCTGCTTCTCTTCTCCTTCCCCTTCTTTTTTTTTTTTTTTTTTTTAACTTTCCACAGCAAATTTTGGGGATTTTTCACGCGGCTTCTCTTCCATTCCACTTTTCACTGCTGAATAATCTATTCAGAGAGATGATCCCCATGAGCTACGTCATCCGTGACATTTAGCAAATACACTCTAAAGACTTTAATAAAGAATGAGTCTGCATTATTTTCCTTTTTCAGGTTTGCTTTTCAAATCATACCTTGCCCACCTTTTGGGGGAAGTGAGGACCCAAAACCTTTAGATTTAAAAGGATATAGATTAACCATATAAAAGAAGAAAATGTACCAACTGGTATATTCTGCGCTCTGTGGTTTTGAATTTTCTCAAGGTGATACAATCTTACTGAAGTTAAGGGTTGGGGGGTGTTTAATTCTTTTTAAATTGAAATCATATCATTATTGACATTATTCATTTCTTACACAGTGTGTTGGCTTGCTTCTGGTAAGAAAAATGGATGTAATCTGCAGACTTCAAGATTTACAGACACAGAGCTTTTTATCAATTAATGATTTGAAAAATATGTGTAGATTGTGCACAGCTTTTCAAGAATAATCTTCAAACTTGCCAACTGCTACTGGATATCCTTGAAATCCCTCAAGAGCTAATTTAAAATTGACACAGTAAATTAGTTTGTCTGCTAAAAAAATACTTTTAACTGAAATTTAAATCCCTATTTAAAGTACACTATAACGACATCAAGGACAGTGTTACTTCAGGATGATTTATTGGTCTGTATGTAATTTATTGAAATCAGTTGAGCATTTGGCTTATATTCACATTACATTCACTATGAAGAATTTTCTGTTATAATTCTAGTAGCGAATTGAGATAATAGAATGGTATTTTTGGCACAAAACATACTCTGTAAACTATTTCACATTATGTCCCTGACCTCAGTCTTTCTTCTTGACCCCTGAAGCCAACCGTAGTTCAGATGAGGAATCTTTTTAAAAAAAAAAAAAACAACCACCCCCAACCAAACCAAAAACCACACATACACCCCTCCCAAAACCCCAAAGAACACAACTCCAAAAAACCAAACCCATAATGCCTCTGTTGTGCTGCCCTGTAGACATGATTGTAGTCTGTGATACTGGACTCTCCCGGCTGACTGTGCTATTTATAGCTGTACGCACGCCTTGAGTTTTCTGACCTTCAACAGAAAGGAGTAAAACCCCAGCAGGGAGGCAGAACAAGAGAGCATGTGTCCTCATGGCCTGCAGCAGGAAGATGGAGTCTTGACTGCTACCTGGCTTTGTTTTGAGCTGAACAGGTACAGTAATCCTAGGCCGAGCATTGGTGCCTAGAATCTTTTTCGAAGAACAGAGCAGAGCCTGAAGAGGCTTTTAGCTCTTTGGTTTGCTGAACTTTGAGTGTGTATTTGAAGTTGCTACTAAAAGGTACTTCAGAAAAGTGTATTCCCTGGTTGGGCAACGTGAACCAAAGCAGGTAACTAACATTTCCGTGGTCTGGTAAGTGAGCGGCTGATTGAAACAAAGTTCCAGTGTACCATATTCCTGACAAGGTTCTCTGTGCTCTTAAGACATGTACATCATTTGTCAGTCATTCTTATTTCAGCTTTTAGCGTTTCTGTCTCCCTCTTGCTCCGATTTGTGCATAAATGCTGTATGTTTATTCAAACATGCATCCTCTACTAATCCTTTTGTTCTGAAGCTTTACAACCTTGCCCAAATCTGTTGAAAACTTACAAAATATTTTTGTAAGATTGTTTTTTCACATTTGTTTGAAGGGGAAACTACACCCTTTCAAAACTCTGACTGTCCTCAAGAGTTGAACCGTGAGTTCTTAAGATAGCGTTTAGAATGGACATCCCGAGCCTGCCTATGTGCCACGGGGCGGCGGCGGTGCCGCTGTGCAACCACCAGGTGGCAGCATAGCGGCGGGCGGCGCGGCCAGCGGGGGCC